CTCGGCGTCGTCCTCGGTGCCGGTACCGGGGCTCAGTGCCCGTGGCAGGGTGCCCGTGCCGTTTGGTGGCCTCCTGGCAAACAGGAGAGGGAGGTGAAGCCGGGCAGGAAGGAGCCGGCGCTGGGCAAAGCGGGAGCGCCACAGCCATGCTGGCATCTCCCGCGTGCCGTGCCGGAATCAGCAAGGCTGGACTGCGAGCGCACAGCTGGATCATGCTAGCACAGCTGGACCACAAGAGCAGGATGGTGACAGCATGGCCAGGCCAGGAGGGCACAGCTGGATGACAATAGCCCAGCTGGATGACAATGGCACTGCCAGACCGCAACGGCACAGCTGGATCGCAACAGCATGGCCAGATAGAGATGGCACAGCTGGATCATAAAGATAGAGCTGGACTGCAGTGGCACAGCTGGATCACGATAGCACTGCCGGGTGACAATGGCACTGCCAGAGATGGCACAGCTGGATCGTGCCTGCACAGCTGGATCACAGTCGCACTGTGAGATCCTGGTGGCACAGCTGCATGGTAATGATATAGCTGGGTTGCAGTGGCACAGATGGATGGCAGTGGCACAGCTGGATCATGACTGCACAGCTGCGCCACAATAACACTGTCAGGTCCCAATGGCTGACTCAGGGTTACACAGCTGGATTATGATGGCAAAGCCAGGTCACAACGGCACAGCTGGATTGCAGAGGCTCTACCAGATTGCAATGGCACAGCCTGCTCGTGACCACACAGCTGGATCGCAATGGCACGGCCAGATCGCGATGGCACAGCTAAATCGTGATAGCACAGCTGGATCGTGACAGCACGGCCACACTGCAATGGCACAGCTGGACTACGATGGCCCAGCTGGATCATGACAGCGCTGCCACATCCCAATGTCATGGCCAGATCACAATGACATGGCCAGGCTGTGGTGGCACGGCCGGACCCCAATGGCACAGCTGGCTGACGATGGCATGGCCAGACCGCGACAGCACAGCTGGGCTGTGACAGCACAGCTGGATCAGGGTAGCGTGGCTAGCCCGCCATGGCACAGCCTTACTGCCATGGCACCAGGCATCTCCTACCGGGGCAGGTGGTGGCCATCCAAGTCGCGGAGCCGGGGGATGTAGTCGGCGGCGCGGCTTTCGTCGCGGGGCGAAGGCGTCAGCGTGGCGGTGGACTGGTGCCCAGAGGAGCCGGCAGGCGAGGGGGCGGCC